ATTATCTCATTCTTGGCATCATTTGGCAAGGTGGTTACATACTCAAGATCTTGGTCCTGAGTCTTCTTTTGAATTTCCTTGCCTTGAGCTTCATGATCTTTGTTGTTGGTTGTTCCCTTGACGGCTTTTCTACTCTTGCATATAGATGTTGCTTTAGCGTTGTGTGTGGGTGGCATTGTCTCTACTGATGCTCTTCATCTCTTTGTTGGTAGAGTTGACTCTTCTTCTTCATCTTCTTCCTTGCTTGCTTCATCATGTTCTTCCTCTTCATTGTTGTCACCAAGGAGGATTAAATCTTCTTGTCTTTTTGAAGCACATTCCCTTTTTCTTTATGTTCATGGTGTCTCTATATTTGTGGCTTCACTTAGTCTTTTGTTGTTGTCATCTATTATTGTCTCTTTGATTTGTAGTGGAATGGCAGTGTTGAGCTTTGGGATGAGTGTTGCAATATAGGGAAGTGCAAGTGTTTTGCATTTGAGGCCGTCTTGGATCATCATCATTGTGATATAGAGTTCCTTGATGAGGGCTAGAGCAAAGTTTCAATGAGTTATACTAGGTATCCAAGTAGGTAGTGCCACTCACACTTGGATTGGGAGCATTGACCATTTGATTTTCTGGCGAAGCTAGAGCCAACTCTTAAACACTTTAACAAACTACCCCACTTATCCATCTGTGTTCACTTTAGTCTTGGATTCCTCAATAGTTATATCATTATCCACCACATGGGTATAGCCTTCCTAGGTCACATTGGCCTTTCCATGCCAAATTCGTTCTACTAGAGTCCAACCCCCACACTCTCCCCATACAATATTGCACATTGAGATTAAGAAAACGAAATGGGAAAGAGGAACACAAGCACGTGGTATCACCAAGGAGTTCACTTTCAATCCCAAGGTAGTCAGCATGATTATGGTGCACCTTACAACCCTATTTAGAAGAGGATTGAAGAGCATGATATATGGCTACATGAAATTGGACTCTACAAGTTCTCAAAAATCAGGGAAAAGTCATATAACATCAACATCACCAAGAAGATTCTCCTAGAAATCAAGGAAGACTTCATACATACAAGGAAGACTTCATGCACACCAATGACTATGAGTTTATCTTGAGTGCCAAGTACTTCACATGGGCATTTAAACTTCCCATCGGTGGAGAGTGTGTGATAGCGATTCCATGCACAAAAGGGATTCCTCCAAAGTGTATCAAGGCACTTGAGAACTACAATAATGGAAATTCTTTGCAAATGAGGAACATGATCAATGAAGCCAAGCGTGACTCAAGTTTTTAATCTCGACACTAGAGATGCATTTACAAATTTCGCCGGTAAAGCAATCATGATTGTCTACAACGACTTGCAACAAAAGACACAAGTCAATATCACAAGCTACCTTCGTGTCAAGACATAACTAGGGCACACTAAGGCAAAAGGTGGGGGAGTACCCACGAAGCTTAAGTTGGGCCGCAGTGTTTTGAAATATTATCTTAATGTCTTGAACTATAAAAAGGAAGAGGAGCAATCCTCTTGTGTAGTGACCAAGGATACAATCATATAGTGAAGAAGTCCTTGTGGTCAATAGGACTTAGCGGTCGGGTTTTTAAGCTTTGACTTAATGGCAATGTTGGCAAGCACGGTCATGGACGGAGAGGGATTTGGTGGGGACCAAAGAAGGGATATTGAGGAAGGTGTTAACACCCCATGTCTCCAAGCATCCTAAGGATGTGAAGGTGTGATCATTCTATGGACAGATAGCTTAGCCTTTGCGAAATAAGACTATGGTATGGGTGATCTTGGATTACCAATAAGACAAAGATGAATGAACAGGGCTTAATGTAACAAGTTGATATATCAATAGTACCTTTGGGTGTCTATTATAAGATTGGACACATGGAGCATTTGGACCAAATGCAAAAGCTGAATGGCATAGAGGCCATTCACGGGGCTAGCAAGGCCTCAAATCGGGAATAAGATTTATAGAGGTTGTGAGTGAGACTTTCAAATGGTCAAATGTGTGGTTAAGTGGCTAAAGTAAAATGGAAATTTAATTGTTTACACTACTTAGATCATACCAGTTTCAAAATGTGGCTTTTTCCTTTGCTAATGAGATCCCAACTTCTCAATATCCTTTATTTAGATCTTATATCCACCACATTATTTGTTTTTGTTTACTAACTTTGCCTTTCTATACTTTATTATGGATCCCCACAAGCTTAATGGACAACACTCTTGCAACCACTTAGTCTACTATCTCAGCTCTAAACCTTTTTCTTCATTAGTATGGAACCTCCCTTAGGGATCTAAGCCCCTCACAGCACTATTTGGATGTGGCATATGCTATCTATGGAGTTAAAGGTGGTGCATCCCTCAAAGTTGGCAAAAACATAGCTCTAATCTTTGTTTTCAACTTTGGCCACACTTAGGAGTCTTTGCATGGCTTCCTTGACACTTAGGGAAGTTTTCTTAAGTCTACAGCAGCTCCACATCACTTTGGAGTCACCACTCAGCCGCTTTGGCATTGCACAATCACATAGCTCCAGGTTTCTTCATGTTTCAGCTCCAATTCTCAACATGGTGTCATCAAGCATGGAGCCTTCATAGATACCATTTTCATCATGGAGATCTAGTATAACCACAACTACACAACACATTTGATTTTGTGGCAACTTTCCCATGCATTAACACTTTGTTCACCCACCAGACTTCTACAAGCACTTAGAGTGACTTTCTCTTCTTCAGCAACATCAAAATTCCCTATCCAACAGCAGCCATCACAACTAGATATCATGCTCCAAGTCTTATATCAGCACCTCTTGCAAACTTAGATTCTCTTGCTATTGCAAGCTTTGATTATTGTACTTGATTTTAGCTCAACTTTCAGTGGAATCCAGAATTTCCTTTGCCCTTCAAAGGCAAGCTCCTTCACAACAATACTTACAAAAAGCTCAACTCATTGCATTTTTCATTAGCAATGAATTCTTTCCTCTCTTTGTATTCTTTTCTTTGCTTTCTTATTTGTTTTCACTTTTCATGTCCTTCCAAACAACCTTCTCTTGTTGATGTAAGTTCAAACTTGGATTCCAACCTCGGGCTAGCCTTAACTGCATTCTTCTAGACTTGGGTATGCATCAATAAAGATGTTAATTTTCCCTAAGGGGGAAGAGTGTTGCAAATATGACTTTGAGTATCAAAAATATTTGTCAACTAATCTTTATGAACACTCTCTCTTTACTACTATAATAGTAGGAGATTGGTACAACTGGTTTCTTTTATAGTTCCCACTTGAGCTAATTGATAAACTAGTTAATGCATGTGTACTTAAATTGAATAAACATAGGGTAGGAACTCCTATATGTTTCTTATTGAGTATACTCAACTCAATTTGAGAAACTCATGCCATTGGCTTGTATCAAAGACCCTCACCATATTGAGTTTAGTCCTCTAATATTGCTTCATGATAGCGTACTATATCTACCAAACAACCTCGTTCATGTGTTAGTCTTATTTCAGTCCCATATACTATTTATAGTAAGTGCTTGAATTTGCTAGTGGAGCATATTTATTGAATTTAGAGAGTGTCCTAAAACCATCATGTTATTCTCATGTCTTAATTAGCAATCTAGTGCCATTCCATATTTAATAAGTTTTTGGGTTATGTGATAGTAGCCAAAGTAAAATCCCAACAAGTATAACACATTTAGACTAAAACCTTTAATTCAAAAAGTCAAGAGTTAAAGTATACACAAGGCTTGCATTAGAGTATGGTACTTCAAACTATCATCCCAAAATCCTTGACTATGAAAAAAAAGAGGGGTGGTCCTCTTACTTAGTAATTAAAGGTATAGTTATGTGGTGATAAAGTCATAAAAGTTAGTGGAATTTAGTAGATAAGTTTTACAGCCCTGATCTAGTGAAGGTGTTCACTAAGTACTATTGTGAAAGGAAAGGGATTGAAAAAGGGGTGTTATTCCCTTGGGTATTTTAAAGATAATAAAGTGTGATCATAGAATAACCACTTATAGATGGATAGTGTAATCTTTGAAGAATTAAAACTGTGGTATAAATGGTTATGGATTACCAATGAAATAGTGGAAATGGATAATGCTTTAGCATAAAAATTTAGTATGGCAATAGCACTTTTGGGTATCTAAAGTGGGACTGAACACATAAAGTATTAAACCAAATGTAAAATCAATATATAAAGACCTAACTTTAAGTGGTTTAAAATGTAGTTAAATGATTATAATAAAATGGAACATACATATTACTTTAGCTTTAAATTAACTTTTTGCAGTTGATTTAAAACCTTGTGTAACATACTTAATTTATGCTTAGTCTCCTTTGAGTTTTTAGGCTAAATACATTATTTATCTATAGACAATTCATAAAGATCGCATACGCATACAGCATGGGGAGAGAAGAACCTCTACCCCAATAGAAGGCACTGCAGTGGTCGATCAACCTCCACATTATGATGGCACTGGCCAGGCTACTGGAGATGTTCGTAGAGGCGGTGGTGTGTATGGGCAGCACCGTACAGGATCGATCGGTGGGGGTGCTTCACTAGCGCTGGTGGCACCAAGTTGCGTGATTTTAGGAGTAGCGAAGGGCAGGGATGGGATTCTAATTTATGAGAGGAGAGGAGTTTTCTTTCTCCTCCTCGTCCAAGAACAACATTCTTCTCTCACGCAGGCGTGCGCAGTTTTAGATTCTTGTTTTTGGATTTGTCATCTTTGGAAATTCGTGATTAGAAATTTCGGAGTTCTAGGATTCTAAATTCTAAGGCTTTTGCGATGGAAGCGCTGCGGCTCACTTGCTTCTCCAACGAGGCGCACGACGCAAGCTTCCATTTCCAGATCCTCTGGCTAGACAAGCAGGTCATGGACATCGATCGATTCTTTCCCATTTTCCCAGATTTGATCGATTCCTTCTCGCTCTCTTTATATCTGGATCGGATGTAACTCCGCGAGGCTGGGGCATCTCTTCGCCTAGATTCTATCACTTCTATGGAATTGGATCTCCTCGATCTCTCCATGCTTTCTTTCCAGGAAAAGATGCCGAGCTTATCCGCCTTGGCAGATTTCACATGCTTTTCTTCCATTCCAATCAATCTCTTCTTTGCTCGAGTCGCAGCTCTCAGGATGCGCCATTGCTTGAGGTCTCCCATAGTGTTTGCTTCTTCTCTCACGAATCTAACTCTCTCGAAACAGAATGCTAAAGGAACTCCAACATCTTGGATATACACACCCTACGAAGAAAAGAAGGAAGAAAAGAAGGAATCGAGCAAAGAATACAATGGTGGTGATGAAAATGAAGAGGGGCAAAGAATGCAAGAATAGAGATGAAATGAGAGAGGCTTGAGTCGTCGAGCGATGAAGACGAGGAAGAAAGAATGGGCTGTCCCACAAGCGAATGGGTGGTAGTGTACAAGAAGTACGAAGTGGTGGAGATGTTTTGCCTTCCACTGTTTAGAAGAGTGACACTCAAGATACGCTCCTACTGCCTATGCATTTAGATTTCTCCTTACCTGTAACCTCGAATCGATGAGCTATTTCTTGGTGTAATCCTTGAGCCCCTGCCGGAGAGCTTCCAGGTTGACGCCCTCGTCCACAAGAATGCTTGTGACGCCCATTTGTGAAACCTTGAACAAAGAAAAGTTTTAGAGAACGAAACGAAAAGAAGGTTTTGTGCTCACTGCTTTTATGTTGCGTTGCTCGTCATCGAAGAAGAGCATGTCCTTGAAAGGCGTGCTAGACTTTTGATGGATCTTTTGGAAGTGCTCGGTCTTGTGGCTCCAGCTCGGGTAGATTTCCTGGAAAGAAGAATTACTTTGGAAGTTGGAAGGAACGAGAAAAGTACCTTGGGGAAGAAGAGAGTGGCAAGGTTGAGCTTGGAGAGGAAGGCGGTGGCAATGTCGGGTGTGGGAGTTCTCGACGCCACAGCCATGGCGACGCCTTTCTCCTGGAGCGCGCTGAGAATCCCGGTCACCTGGGGATAGAGCCGCGGATTATCTCGCTTTGACATGCATTCGCTGGAGAGAAATCAAAATCGACCCAGAAACCTTGAGGAAGGGAGAGAAAGAGAGGCGCTCAGTCGCTCAGTCGCTCACTCACTCACCACCAGAAGGGCCACAGCGTGTAGTCGAGATCGAAGACAACGAGGCGGGGGAGGCGCTCGGCGCTTGCGAGGAGCTCCAATGCCTGGGCTTTGACGGCATCGCTGCTGGTGCTCATCCTCGCCGGTGCCCTAGGTCCCGCTAGCCTCTGCGCGCACGCGTGAGGAAGAACTAGATCTAGCATGAACCCTAAATTCGAAGCCCTAAAAACAGAGCTGCCTTTACTGGTATTGTAACATTTCCCTAATATAATTCCAGTTTACTAGTTTAATTTTAATGTAAGTAAACCAAAAATAATTAATAAAATTTTTGAAGCATGAAAACAATAAATTTAAAAATGCTATTTTGAAGAAAACTACTATTGTTATGCTCTCTTATCTATATTTTCCCCAATCTTGATTTTCAATGCCTTTGTTTCATGCAAGGGAATCTCATAACCTCACCACACAATCAAAATCCCATCGATCTCTCACTGAAAATACCACTGAAATGTGTAATGAATAAGCTCTAAGTATATCCATATCCAGAAGTAGGCCCAAAATTGTACCCCACTCCAATGTGAAGGATTGCCTAGACTCTCAACATGAAGGATTGCCTAGACTCTGATGTAACAAGAACCTAAAGCTTGTAAACTGAAACAGAATGGCTAAATCTCACACATAGATAGATGGATGATGAAAATTGAAATGTTAGAGAGAAAATAGAAAAAATAAGAATAAAATGTGGAGTTTGAAAACACAAGGAAATAACAAGGGAAAAATTGGAATCTAAACTCAAAAAATGGAAAAAGGAAGAGATGATAAGAGATGAAGAAAAAAGTCTAAATTTTGGATCTTGGCCTCAGAATATGATGGCATTGTGTTGTTAACAATGTTGAATAAATGGTTGTGGATTATCTATGCTAAAAACTATTGTTCACTAAGAAAGGTGGAATGGGATAGATTTGCCCAATCAGCCATTAGAGGTTTCATTTTGTTGCTAAGTTGATATTATTGCATTAATCTAGTTGCAATTGTAACTTGCTAGAACTTTAGTTGTGTCTAAAGATAATTTGAACAAATAAATTAAATATGGAAAACCATTAAAAAAAATGCCGAGCCCAATTATAGTGTCATAGAAAACAATGAAACTGATATTGATAAAAAAATCTATAGAATTGATTGGAAGAAATAATAGTGATTGTAAATGGTCAAGAAAAATGTTAAAAGAAATGTGGAAAACTAAAAATCCTGAGCATGATCTAGAAAATTCAAAACTTCAACATTATATTTAAAGTATATATTTAATACTTGTTTGTGGGTGATAGGTTATGTTGAATTTTAATTTAGTGCAATATTACTTTAGAAGAGTTCTCTAGAACTTGTTAATGAAATTCTTCTATCAAACTGAGATAATTTCTTTTGCCTTTCCCCACTCAAACAACTTATTCAAAGAATAGCTTTGTCAGGAATCCCCCAATTCTTGCCACATTCCTGACTCTCGCTAGATTCTTGACTCACAAAACCACATTCCTAACTCTCGAGACACTTCCCTATTCTTGACTCTCTGATTTCTTGTATGATTCTTGATTCTAGGTTCTTGTCTACGTACTCTTTGAGGGCCTTAAGCTCGGACGGGGATAACCCGTAGATAGGCCCCCACGGAGGTGACGCTCCTTCCTGTAAATCAATAAGACAGTCGTAAGGCTGATGAATAGGCAGTACACTTTGTCAAACACATCCCCAAAATCATGATACTTCTTAGGAAGACTGACAGGAGAAACATGCAAAGCAAAAAGGAAAATAGGTTCTTCGTGAAGGAGCTCTTTCATAGTGATTGTGGAGATAGGAGGAGGCATATGACTGAATGAAATGATGGGACGAGGATACTGTCTAGTGTAAGATGGAAGAGAGGGAAACGAAGAGGGTGAAAACTTTGTAGAGTCAGGAATAGAACCCCAATTTGAGTTTAGGGAATTTTTCCTGATTCGGACTCGATGAATAGCAGGGGAAGACGTGGGAGAGACGAGCTGTAATTCCTTCCAAAAAATCTGAGGCTGGTGCAGTTGGAACCAAGGAAGGCCGAGCACCACAGAGGAAGACTTGTTGTTAATGATATTGAAGTGAGAAGATCAGCTCTATCTGGTTCAGGAATCCGCAAAGCTCCGAACGCTTGCCTGAAAACTTCGCCAGGAAACTCACCTTCGATTCAGGAACTTTGTTTGATCCTTGAGCCGAAAGTCAAGCAAACTCCTGTTGCATGTGAAGAAGGGTCGCTTTCAGCTCAGTATTCTCAGACTGGATTTTTGCAAAGACTTTGGCAAAGAAATCAAGATGGCTTGGAGATTCCATTGGCAAAGAAGAAAGAAAAAGGGGGAAAAAAAGGCAAAGGCAGTCAAACAATCAAAATGAGCTAAAGAAAAAGCAAAAAGCACAATTTGAATCAAACTGTCAAGACCCCCAACAAAATCAGGACTGAAAAATACAAAAGACAAAGAGAAAAGCTAGTGGAGGCGAAGAAAAGGCCTTAGATTGGTATTGATTCAGATTGTGGAGAAATGGAACAAGGTTAATCTATATATACTATAGGTTGATGAAGCTCCACCACTCTTGGATCGAGAACGGCCTAAATATAGCTGAAGTCGAGGAGGTGCCACGTCATCATCAGAAATGTGGTTCGTGCATCGGGGCACATTCAGCATTTGCAGTCCCCAGTTGGAGCATTTGTCTTCTTTGTCAAGAAGAAGGATGGGAGTTTGCGGCTAGTCATCGACTACCGAGGTTTGAACAAAGTGACTGTTCAGAACCGTTATCCACTGCCCCTGATCTTGGACCTGTTGGAATGCCTTGGCTGTGCCCGCTTCTTCACCAAGATTGTTTAAGCTCCTAAGTTTGGTCCCGGGAGGTCACCCAACCTAGTACTATTCAAACCCAAGGACACTTAACCCCAAATATCCCAAGACCCTTAACCGATTGAAAAAGGGGGTGTACTCTTATTCATGGGCCCTTTCCCTCTATATTTGAACCCTATGGACCGTCTCTCGAGTCGTTCCCTTTGGTTGCTTACAATCCACCACGCTTCCTTGCAAGTTGATGCCCTCGTGAACGGAAGCTAAGAGCCGTAGCTCTCCTGAGAGCCCCGCTCTCTTGACACCCTACCCCTCGGGTCGAGCCCAGCGGGAGCAAACTGGACCAGCCAGATGTCAATCAACATGTGGTGCGATTCCCTTAGCCAGCCAACAGAGTCGGACCCGAGACCCCTCTGATACCAAATGTAAGCTCCTGAGTTTGGACTTCCCGGGAGGTCACCCAGCCCAGAACTATTCAAACCCAAGGACGCTTAACTCCAAAATATCCCAAAACCCTTAACCAATTGGAAAAAGGGGTGCACTCTTGTTCATGGGCCCTTTCCCTCTATATTTGAACCCCAACGGATCGTCTCTCGAGTCGTTCCCTTTGGTTGCTTACAATCCACCACGCTTCCTTGCAAGTTGATGCCCTCGTGAACGGAAGCTAAGAGCCGCAGCTCTCCTGAGAGCCCCGCTCTCTTGACACCCTACCCCTTGGGTCGAGCCCAGCGGGAGCAAACTGGACCAGCCAGATGTCAATCAACATGTGGTGCGATTCCCTTAGCCAGCCAACAGAGTCAGACCCGAGACCCCTCTGATACCAAATGTAAGCTCCTGAGTTTGGACTTCCCGGGAGGTCACCCAGCCCAGTACTATTCAAACCCAAGGACGCTTAACTCCAAAATATCCCAAAACCCTTAACCAATTGGAAAAAAGGGTGCACTCTTGTTCATGGGCCCTTTCCCTCTATATTTGAACCCCAACGGATCGTCTCTCGAGTCGTTCCCTTTGGTTGCTTACAATCCACCACGCTTCCCTGCAAGTTCACGCCCTCATGAACGGAAGTTGAGAGCCGCAGCTCTCCCAAGAGCCCCGCTCTCTTAACACCCTACCCCTCGGGTCGAGCCCAGCGGGAGCAAACTGGACCAGCCAGATGTCAATCAACATGTGGTGTGATTCCCTTAGCCAACCAACAGAGTCAGACCCGAGACCGCTCCGATACCAAATGTAAGCTCCTAAGTTTGGACTTCCTAAAAGGTCACCCAGCCCAGTACTATTCAAACCCAAGGATGTTTAACCCCAAATATCCCAAGACCCTTAACCGATTGGAAAAGGGGGTGCACTCTTATTCATGGGCCCTTTCCCTCTATATTTGAACCCTATGGACCGTCTCTCGAGTCGTTCCCTTTGGTTGCTTACAGATTGACCTCCGTAGAGCATACAACCTGATCTAGATCCAGCTTGGCGATGAATGGAAGACTACATTTTGAACCCGCTATGGCCACTTCGAGTACATTGTCATGCCGTTTGGCTTGACAAATGCTCCAGCAGTTTTCCAACACATGGCAAACAACGTCTTTTGGGAGTTTCTTGATCAGATGGTGATCGTCTACCTCGATGACATCCTCATCTACTCAAAAACTCAAGAGGAGCATGACGAGCATGTGTGCAAGGTGCTGGCGAAGCTGCGAGAACACGGTCTATATGCAAAGCTTGAGAAGTGTTCTTTTGATTAGGAGTCTGTGGAGTTCCTTGGGTACATTGTCACTCCTAAGGGTATCATGATGGATCCTACCAAAGTCAAGACTATTCTCGAATGGGAGCCTCCACAATCTATGTTGGACGTTCAGGTTTTCCTTGGCTTCGCCAACTTCTACCGCAAATTCATTGATCACTACTCCAACATTGTCCTTCCTCTCATCTCACTCGCAAGGATGTTCCCTTCTCTTGGTCTACTACTGCCCAGCAGGCCTTTGACACACTCAAGGCAGCCTTCAATTCTGCTCCTATCTTGATCCACGTTGATCCCTCACAACCTTTCTTCATCAAGGCGGATGCCTCCGACTTTGCCATCGGTGATGTGCTATCTCAACTCAAAGCGGATCAGGAATTTCATCCGATCGCTTTCCATTCTCGGAAATTCCAGCCTACAAAGGGGGCAAGCCATCAAACAACGGTTTGGACAGATCACAAAAATCTGGGGTATTTTGCCACTTCCCGAGTTTTGAGCCGTTGTCAGGCAAGGTGGGCACAATTCCTTTGTTATCAAGTATAGACCTGGAAAGCTTCAGGGCCTTCCTGATGCTCTTTCAAGGCACTCCTATCTCAGTCTCAGGCTTGGTAATCCTGCTTTCAATCAACA